CTGCAGGGGAGGAGAGGCAGAGATACTGAGAGATAGGATGAGAGACAGATACTGAGAGACAGAGGTACTGAGAGACAGAGATACTGAGAGACAGGATGAGAGACAGAGATACTGAGAGAAAGCATAGGAGGCAGATACTGAGAGATAGAGATACTGGGAGACAGATATACTGAGAGACGGTATGAGAAACAGAGATACTGAGAGACAGGTCGAACATATTTAAAAAATTCCATCAACCCAAGATATTTTATTCCATGGTCTACCAGTAAAGCAGACTGACTCAATAAAGAAACACATTCACCATCACTCACTCAGTAGCACGTTAGTCTCTAGTTAACCTGAACACTTCACGTGTATTGACGTGAAATTATTAATACTCTGTGTGTTTTTTTTTCCTTCAAATTTCTTCTAGTCAGTTGATATGTGTCGATATACACGAGTTTAGTGAACATGACTGACGTGAGGAGTATAGTCTCAAAATTGCTGAGTGACGACAATACTGGAGGAGAGATGGAGGAGAGATACCAATCTGAGAGACAGTGTTTGGTTTTGTGTGGAACTTCATCATGTCATGTTACTTTATGTTCAGAAATTCCTCAAGTCATGTCTGGATCTGTGTAAAGATTTATCATGTCATGTTCGTGCTGCTTTGTCAGTTCTAAACTTGATAAAGCTCTACACACGGCTTAACGAATGTTAATATATATATATTTATATAATATATATATATAATATATATATATATTATATATATATATATATATAATATATATATATATATATATATATATATATATATATATATATATATACATACATTGTTCTGGGAGGGAGTGAGTGCCCTACTTCGCCTCATCACACATCGTCCACTCCTCCCTTTCCTCCACCGCCCACAACAAGGACGGGAGACCCCTTTCCTCCGCCCACCACCACCATAAACCACCTGCGGTATGTGCTATGCGCCATTTTCCCTTCAGCCTGGGCTTACCACACAGTTTGAGGTATGGCAGATGATGCAGCCAGCCAGTCACAAAGCCACGGAAACAATGCACCCAACAATGAAAGAAGAGGCACATGTCAGTTGTGTGAAGAGTTTCGAGCACGCAACAGGGATGGCCGCATTCGTGCACACCATGGGTGTGCGGGATCACATATGCCCCCAGCAGAGAGCAGCCCACAGCCTCCACAGACAGATGACAATTCCAATGGCAACCTCCTCACTTGTGATAACCTTCTGTTGGCATTCAAATCCACTGCTAGCAGTACCCAAGAACGGATAATTGTGTCCCTCTGCCCCATCATCCCAGGAATCAGAGGTAGACCCAAGAAAAGTTCCACCGAAAACGAGAAAATTTGCGCACAGGTCAGCAAAAAAATCGAAGACGGTAACACAGTGGGAGCAATAAGAATAATTACAAGTGACGACACTGTAGCCCCCAAAGATAAGACCATGGCCCAAGCACTAAGAGACAAGCATCCAACCAGGCACACCATAGCCATCAACGACAACCCTGAGGAAGACCCCATCACTGAACAATTAATTTTGCCAGAATCAGAAGTCTATAAGGCGGTCGTGTCATTTCCAGCAGGATCTGCAGGAGGTTACACTGGAATTCGACCTCAGCACCTCAAAGAGATGGTAAATCCAGTACTCGGTGAATCTGCATCAATTCTTCTCACCGAGTTAACAACTTTAGTCAACAACTGCCTGGCTGGGCGAATCACAGAAGAAATTAAACCTTTCTTTTTTGGAGCCTCACTGTGTGCTTTGAAGAAGAAGGATGGGGATATCAGACCCATTGCTGTTGGTAACACTCATCGCCGTCTCGTTGCCAAAGCAGCAGTAAGAAACATTCGCCTAGAAGCTGCCACTTTACTCCAGCCACATCAACTGGGCTTTGGGGTCTCTCAAGGCAGTGAAGCCGCAGCTCATGCGGCAAGGGCCTACATCAGGGACCTACCATAAGACAAACTTGATTTTAGAAATGCCTTTAATATGGTGAAGAGAGATGTAGTCTTGCCAGCTGTTCGGGATCGGTTCCCCAGTTTTTTTCCTTCATTTCAGCCGGCTACAGCAAACCCTCAATTCTTTTGTTTGGAGAACATGAAATTCTCTCATCAGAGGGTGTTCAGCAGGGTGACCCACTCGCTATACTTCTCTTCCGCTTGGCAGTAAGAGAACTAACTTCCAGCCTACGCAGTGTGTGTGTGTACTCACCTATTTGTACTCACCTATTTGTGGTTGCAGGGGTCGAGTCACAGCTCCTGGCCCCGCCTCTTCGTTGATTGCTACTAGGTCCTCTCTCTCCCTGCCCCATGAGCTCTATCATACCTCGCCTTAAAACTATGTATGGTTCCTGCCTCCACTACATCACTTTCTAGTCTATTCCATGGCCTGACTACTCTATGACTGAAGAAATACTTCCTAACATCCCTTTGATTCATCTGAGTCTTCAACTTCCAATTGTGACCTCTTGTGTCTGTGTCCCATCTCTGGAACATCCCGTCTTTGTCCACCTCGTCTATTCCGCGCAGTATTTTACATGTCGTTATCATGTCTCCCCTGACCCTCCTGTCCTCCAGTGTCGTCAGGCCGATTTCCCTCAACCTTTCTTCATAGGACAATCCCCGTAGCTCTGGGACTAGTCTTGTTGCAAACCTTTGCACTTTCTCTAATTTCTTGACGTGCTTGACTAGGTGGTGGATTCCAAACTGGTGCTGCATACTCCAGTATGGGCCTGACGTAGATGGTATACAGAGTCTTAAACGAATCCTTACTGAGGTATCGGAACGCTATCCGTAGGTTTGCCAGGCGCCCGTATGCTGCAGCAGTTATCTGATTGATGTGCGCCTCAGGAGATATGCTCGGTGTTATACTCACCCCCAGATCTTTTTCCTTGAGTGAGGTTTGCAGTCTTTGGCCATCTAAACTATATTGTGTCTGCGGTCTTCTTTGCCCTTCCCCAATCTTCATGACTTTGCATTTGGCAGGGTTAAATTCAAGGAGCCAGTTGCTGGACCAGGCTTGTAGCCTGTCCAGGTCACTTTGTAGTCCTGCCTGATCCTCGTCCGATTTGATTCTTCTCATTAACTTCACATCATCTGCAAACAAGGACACTTCTGAGTCTATCCCTTTCGTTATGTCGTTCACATATACCAAGAACAGCACAGGTCCTAGGACTGACCCCTGTGGAACCCCGCTTGTCACAGGCGCCCACTCTGACACCTCGTCGCGTACCATGACTCGTTGTTGCCTCCCTGTCAGATATTCTCTGATCCATTGCAGTGCCTTTCCTGTTATGTGTGCCTGGTCCTCTAGCTTTTGCAGTAACCTCTTGTGAGGAACTGTGTCGAAGGCCTTCTTGCAGTCCAAAAATACGCAGTCGATCCACCCCTCTCTCTCTTGTCTTACTTCTGTCACCTTGTTATAAAACTCTAGTAGGTTTGTGACACAGGATTTTCCTTCCCTGAAACCGTGCTGGTTGTCAATTATACACTTGTTTCTTTCCAGGTGCCCCACCACTCTCCTCCTGATGATCTTCTCCATGACCTTGCATACTATACACGTTAGTGATACAGGTCTGTAGTTTAGTGCCTCATGTCTGTCTCCCTTTTTAAAAATTGGGACTACATTTGCCATTTTCCATGCCTCAGGGAGTTGCCCAGTTTCAAATGATGTGTTGAAGATCTTTGTTAATGGCTCACACAATATCTCTGCTCCCTCTTTAAGGACCCATGGAGAGATGTTGTCTGGTCCCACCGCCTTTGAGGTGTCAAGTTCGCATAGCAGCTTCTTCACCTCCTCCTTGGTTATATGTACCTCATCCAGCACTTGCTGGTGTGCCCCCTGTTCTGATTTCTTGGAGTCCTACTGGTTTCCACTGTAAATACCTCTTTAAATCTTGTGTTGAGCTCCTGACATACCTCTCGGTCGTTTCTTGTGAATTCCCCATCACCCTTCCTCAGTCTGATTACCTGGTCCTTGACTGTTGTTTTCCTCCTGATGTGGCTGTACAACAGCTTCGGGTCAGTCTTTACTTTTGATGCTATGTCATTTTCATATTGTCTCTGATCCTCCCTTCTTATCTGTGCATATTCGTTTCTGGCTCTTCGGGTGATTTCTTTATTTTCCTGAGTTCTCTGTCTTCTGTACCTTTTCCATTCTCTAGTACACCTAGTTTTTGCCTCCCTACACCTTTGGGTGAACCAAGGACTCGTTCTGTTCTTCCCATTATTTCTGTTTCCCTTGGGAACAAACCTCTCCTCTGCCTCCTTGCATTTTGTTGCTACATAGTCCATCATTTCTTGTACTGGTTTTCCTGTCAGTTCCCTCTCCCACTGAATGTCTTGAAGGAAGTTCCTGATGCCTGAGTAGTTCCCCCTTTTGTAGTTTGGTTTTTCCCAGCCTGTTCCTGCTACTCTCTCCACTTGGAGCTCAACTATGTAGTCGAAGCACAGAACCACATGATCACTAGCTCCCAGGGGCTTTCATACATGATACCCTCGATGTCCGAACTACTCATGGTGAATACAAGGTCCAACCTTGCTGGTTCATCCTCTCCTCTCTCTCTGGTAGTGTCTCTAACATGTTGATGCATGAGGTTTTCCAGTACTACATCCATCATCTTGGCTCTCCATGTTTCGGGACCCCCATGGGGCTCCATGTTTTCCCAGTCAATCTCCTTGTGATTGAAATCACCCATAACTAGTAACTTTGCTCCCCCCATGTGTGCTCTCCTGGTCACCTCGGCTAGTGTGTCGATCATTGCTCTGTTGCTCTCATCGTATTCTTCTCTTGGCCTCCTGCAGTTCTGTGGTGGGTTGTACATTACTGCAATTATCACCTTATGTCCCTCAGACTGGATTGTTCCTACTAAGTAGTCCCTTTCGCCCGTGCCATCCATTCCTTCCATTTTCTCAAAACCCCACTGGTTTTTAATGAGCAGTGCAACTCCTCCTCCCCCTCTCCTCCCTCTGTCTTTCCTGAGGATTTGATATCC